CATCTGTTCACTGCAAAACTTTTGCGCTATATTTAGGTGCGGAAGAATAAAAAGAATATTCGCGAACACTAAAAACCCGTCGAATCGACGAACAAACTAATTCTATTGGTTCAAAAGATATTCTGACTGATCGAAATAAAGTTTTAGAGTAATTTGTTGAAATGTTTTAAAAGTTGTATTAACGATCATCCATAAATTACATAATGCAAAATTTCACAATAAAACAAAAAAAGATCAAATATTTTTCCTTGCAGAATCTTTATTTAAATAAATAATCAAAATAGGAAATTAAATGAAAATCGTCATGTAAAAGAGCTTAATATCCTCTACTTCTGTTCTTAAAATATTTTTTGCATTGCATAATTTATGGACGATCCCTTATTTACGATTTGTTACGTTTTGAGATTTTTAGCATAAATTGTTTTAATATATCAATACTATGACTCATTCTTGGACATCTGCAAAGCCGTAAATCTTTTAAACTATTATTATTTGTTTACAGAAATAAATTTTTTAAATATATTATTTAAATTGTAAAAACTTCAAAAGTTTATTATAAATTATAGATTTTATTAGTATATTCTTATTTTTTATGTAAAAAGTATGTATTTTTTATGTAAAAAGTATTTATTTTTTATGTAAATGTAATTTTGTGTATCTGTTTTTTATCGTAATGTAATCTTTTAAAGCAATTTTTATGATTTAATTTGTAAACAAAGAAAAAAAAATTGCATTTTCAATGAAGTTATTAATAATCATCAAAGTTAATAAAACTAATTATGTAACAAACATATAAGAAGTTTCTGGTTACTAAACACAAACAATGCATACAAAGTAACTTGCGGATGAACAAGCACCGCGCCTGAGGTTTCGACAGAACACAAATATATATAGCAAGTTATTAAATATGAAGAAAAGGTTCTAAATATTGGTTTACTAACTCTAATTATTTTCGCTTCAGTTGCCATTCTTAAAAACTAGTTATACTTTTTTCCGCTTTAAATACTAATTAAAATTAAAAAGCCCATTCACTAAACATTATCAGCGATATTGTGAAGGAGTTTCGCTTCCTTGTCATAACGTATTTAAACTTTTTAGTTGATTTCTTTTGCTTTAAGTTTTTTGCGTTATTTATTTATTAGATATTTTATTTTCCTAATTTTTTTTTTTTTTTTTTTTTTTTTTTTTTGTAATTGTCTCTCATCGGTCAAATTAATCTTATGCACATTTTTTTTTTGCTTTTTGAAATGTTCTTAAAACTACTAAAAAAATCTGGCCAGCTTTTTACAACTAAATATTATTTCCGTGGTCAACAATCGAGAGCGATCGCTCCCGCTTCCCGATCAAGCCTGATTATGTGTAAATTTAATGTTATATTTAAATTTTTTTTAGTAGAAATGTAATTTTTATAATAAATTTAAACGTTTAAAACTATTTTTCTAAGTCTTTCTAAAAGTCTTTTAAAATATTATTTTTTTAAGTTACTTTGAACTATAAATAAATTAAATTAAAATTTCCCATGATTTAATTGCTTTTTTTTGTTTGTTTCTTTGTTTCTATTTTTACAAAGAATTGTTTAAAAGTTTTTTTTAAAAAAAAACTTGACTAATTAAAGCATGAAATGAATAAAAATTACGATTTTAAAAAACCTTTGTTATTTTTTTAAACATTTTTTTTTTGCAACTTTTTAAAAAAAATGTTCATGCAACTTAAAAATATTGTACTTTTTTCTTTTCGATAATTTAATTTCACTTTTCATTTTTGTTCATTTAATTTTTTTATTTACTAAACAATCAATAGAAGTAATTTGTAAAAGCGTTTAATTAAACGTTTTAAAAGATAAGTTTTAAAGTAATTTTTTTCAAATGCAATTAAAAATATAACAAAAAAATAGTTTTAACTTATTCTTTAGTTTTTTAAATTTTTTTCCTAGTTTAAGATGTGCTTAACGTTTCTTTTTTCAGCGCATTTCTGAAACATTTAAATTGTCAAAACATCTAAACAGTTGTGGTCACCAATAGCATTCAATTGCACACCAGCTTTATTTTGTAGAATTTAATTTCTGTCAGTCAAAATGTGAAATTACTTTGTAAATTGATAGAACAATCTGAGGCTTTAGCCATTTTCATCATTAACACATGCTCTATTAATTTCTGTTAAAAGAGAAGCAACTGGAACTATATGCTGCATTTTAGGAACATTTACATTAGTATACATATTGTCAAATGACCCCTGACTCATCTGTAAAGTAGATAATGGTTAGGGTATAAAACAATGATGGTTTGTTTTTCCTGGAATTGTGGAACAAGTAGCATAACATTCTTCTAATTTAAACTCTATGCAATGTAATACAATTGCATCATTTGAAATGTATTGAAAATGCATTCCTTTGATATTTTGTCTACACCAGTCAAAAAATTTCTCAGGTGAGTTGATAGGATCTGTAAGTGATTGTAAACTGGCCTAAACTACATGTCTTTTGACAGTGCCCCCAATGCCATCGCTCACACTTTTTCCATGTGATGTAGCAAAAAAATGCCATTCTGCAGATACTTTATAATCTAATTCATAGTGACATAAATTAGATATCTATATGTAGTATATAGATATAGATATGTAGTATATAGATATAGTATGTAGATATAGATATGTAGATATAATAAATTAGATTTTATAATTTTTTTTAAAAAGCAATCGTTAAAATAAGACAACAACTCTTAAATGAAACAATCAACTGAGTTTGTATTATGTTGCAAATGATCTGAAATGATACAAACACTTTTACATTTTATTATATTTGTTAAGTCACATACAACTAATGTCAAGAGGTTATTATAGTCTGAAATATCTGGTATTTGTAATGCTAAAAGTTTTGGTATTCACAAACACATACTTAATGGAGACCTGAAGCACCTCCAATAGGAACATACCACTTTGGTCTAGGTTTTTTAGCAAAATTCATTTAAAAGGTTCAACGTTTATATTGATTGTCTATTACATAATAATAGTCTTTATTACATAATCATCTTGTGCATTGAGTTGACACAAATTTGAAAATGATAATCAAATAAGTCAAATAAATGGGGAGGGGTGAAATAGTGAATGTATTAGAAAAATATTATAAAATCTATAGTCATAATATTAAATATTAGGTAAATTAGACTAAAATTTTTTTTTTTTTTGTTTTTACCTAATAGGCTACTTAGAAATTTTATGTAAAAACATTATAACTAAATTTCAATTTTTATATGTGTATATTTAGTGGTCTGTTTAGCACTTCATACATTATTTTTATATGTGTATATTTAGTGGCATAAAGGCACTTCATACATCAAACATAAAACCAGACACATCATGTAAGGAGAAGTGTTCAATTACAATTTTTTTCTAAGTTCTGGGGAAATATGTGCATGTTTAAAAGTAAATGGACAGGGGAAAAGGGAGGGGACAGGAAAGAGATAGGGTATTTAAAAACTTAATTTAGGCTTAATTAAATACTTCTTTCTAGTACTGATTATAAAATACTTTTAAATTCATATGTAATTTGTATTACAATATATAATAAAACCAAAGTTCAACAAAAACTTTAATATTTTTAATGCATTGTGGCCAATTTTAATTGTTCTGATTTTGTAACTTCCCCATGAGTACCCACTATGTTTTTTTCTGAAATCACTGTAATAAAGTCTATTAAATTATAAGAAAAAAAAATCTTATTAATACCAGTGTTGATCCTAGGTTACCGGTGGTTCGAAGTGGAGGCACATTTTCCTAAGTTTTAGCCACAGCCATTTTTAGAAGTCTATAATTTTATCTGAATTGTATCTTATCAGTAAATTTCTGAAAATTTGGAAGCCTACCATATATAGAAACTATAAAAATATGTCTTTTCACTTCTTAAACTGCAGGTTTTGTATATTGACTCATCAAAAATCAACTTTTTATATTTGCAAACACTTTTTAAGGTTTTTTAGGTAGCCATTATGGAAAAAATGTGACATTGGAGAATTCAATGTAAAAGTTTTTTGTTAAAGTAAGTCTAGAATTGTATCCATTGAAAAATCAAGAAGGTTTTCTGAAATTTTGTTCTTAAAATATAAAGCTTCAAAGTATGAACAAAACATGTTTTTGCTACTAAAGTTTTTATTTTTTGGAAAAATCAGAAATTTGAAATGACCATATCTCATGAACCACAAAAGATTTTATGTTTAAATTTTCAGGAATTGCTTTTTTCATTTATAATAAGAAACCCACTGTTTCATCAAAATCTGAGGGGGTTCATGTTGAAATCCTAAAATTTTGGTCTATTTGGCATGGAATGACTCTTATGGTATTTTTTGATACATATATATTGAAAGGAACCACAAAAGTTGTTATGGTAATTTTTTATTGATTTTGATGTTTTATGTCCCACCCTATATTTATATATATATATATATATATATATATATATATATATATATATATATATATATATATATATATATATATATATATATATATATATATATATATATATACACACATATACATTCATAGAGCATTAGCATAACTATTTTCAATCTTTAAAAAAAACTTTAATTTCAAAATAATAATTTATATATATATATATATATATTTATTTTGAAATTAAGGTTTTTTTTTTACGATTAAAAAATAGTTATGCTAATGCTTCATGTATGTATGTGTATATATATATATACATATATATATATATATATATATATATATATATATATATATATATATATATATATATACATATATATATATATATATATATATATATATATATACATATATATATATATATATATATATATATATATATATATATATATATATATATATATATATATATATATATATATATATATATATATATATATATATATATATATATATATATATATATATATATATATATATATATATGTATATGTGTGTGTATGTGTGCATGTATATGTGTATATATGCACTTACATATAATGTTTTTTTAGGACAAAATATTCAAGTGTTTTCCATCATCCTCACAATAGTCAACAGCTTCAACCTACTTCATATACATCTGCAACCTCTTTGCATTCTCCAGTACCAATACATCCTGATGTGCGATTTATTCCATTACCTTTTTATGACATTATTGATGTTCTAATAAAACCTACAAGTTTAGGTAACTAGACGCCTGTGATTATATTTTTATAATCAGCGTGTTTTTTATTAATACTTAAGTTAAAATGTTTTGTAACATTCAAAAGATATTCAGGATGATTAATTGACTAATGGAAATTGTTCTACCACATTCCTTTGCATTCAGTTCAGAAAACAATGGCTGGTTATCAAGAAATGAGTTTTGTTTATCATCTGACTCCATATCAAACACAACTTATCACAAGTTCAAGGTAATTATTTAAGTAAATTATAATAGTTAGTTATTTTATATAGTTTATAGTAAATAATAATTAAATATAGTAAATAATAAATAATAATTATGTTTTAAACTTTTGTGCAAATTGTTGTTCTAGCTGTTGTTTTTTTTTTCTTTTTCTTTTTTTTTTTTGATTTATTTTTTGTTTGTTTGAAAGGCAGTAATGCACTTTATTTTTGTCTTTGTTCTATTTTTTTTTTTTTTTTTTTGTCATCTTTTTTTTCTATATTGTCTATTTTTCGTCTACTTTAATAGAACCACCTACTTCTTTTTCATTTCTTGACTTTTGATTTTATCTAAGTTTATAAAATATGAGTTGTTTTAATTAATATTTGTGTATTATATATATAGCCTTAGCATTACATTATTGGCTGCAGGTATTAGTATTATTAAATTGTTTTGTCACAAAAGAAATTTTTATGTTTGTTAAATAAGCCAAGGCTAGATAAGTGTGGCTTGGTTAATGGAGTGTGAGATCCAAAAATATAAATATTTTGTATATAACTTATATTTCTCTTGCATAACTGCTTAAAATAAAAAACCATTTAGTTTTAATTTTATATTATTCATATATAAAATTATATTATTCATATATAAAATTATATTTATATTCCTGTAAAATTTTATAATCCGCAATTTAAAAAATTAATTTAAAAGGACTTTATAAATGTAGAAAATTTCTAAATTTTTTACTTTTGTCATAAACTCTTTGATGTGAAATATGGAAGTGTCTGTGCAAACTATTCCAGTCAAGATTTGATTTAAAACCTTTTTTGTTGTTATTAATTCAAGTGAATTATTATCTTTTACTCATTGGTGTCTCATTGCAAAAATCAAACACAACTTATATATTCTAATTTCTTTCCCTTCGAAAAACTAGTTGTTGTTTTTTTTAGCAAAAAGCTCATGTAAGATCTCAAGTTTCTTTTCTTGCGGCATCAGATTTTTATGTTATAAAAAGTTATTCATAATATTTAATTTAGCAAAGTTACTATGTCCTGTTTTGTTTTAAGTATACTTAAACGATAAAGTTATTGTTCACTATGATTGTGTATAAACTTTTTCTTCTTAAAATAAATGTTTTTATACACAGGGTGGTCACTGGTCATAGAAAAAGTCATGGAATTCTTAAATTTTCATTGAAAGTCATGGAAAATTCATGGAGCTTTTTAAAATGATCTTTATTAATTTGTACTTGTGATATTTTAGGATGCAAAGAAAAGTACTAGTATGTCTAGTCTAAGTCCTTTTTAAAATATATATTTTTGCACTGTAACTTATCAGAGAAGTAAAAGAGTTTTTTTCTGACATGATTTCAGAACTTTTTACCATTTAGTTTTTAGTTTGCATGTTTTATAATGACAAAGTTGAGCAAATGCTTAGTGCATGACAAGTACTGAAATGCCTAAATGCAAAGTTGTAAATGGCAAAAGTACATGACAAGTACTGAATATTTCACTCTAGTGATTTATCATAAGAGTTTATGAAGAGTCATGTAAAAGTCATGGAAAAATCATGGAATTTCATTTTCAAATTTGGGTGGTCACCCTGATACTGAACATCTGTTCATTTTTCTATGTTTTTTATCCTTCTATATATAAAAAGTTTTTTTAATAGAAATGTTTCATATTATTCTAGTTCAATCACTGCAGATTAACAGATAACTAATAAAACTATTAGCAAACTTTTTTTTCCAAGTTTTTAATTTGCTAAAAAAAGTTCTTGGAAAAAACGTATTTGAAAAAATTGTGATTGACTTAGGTGGTTTTACACCCATATCATGGCATGTCATGAAATTTAACACTACCACCACCTTTGATAATATATGTCAATGTCAAAATAATATAAAGACAGATTTGTTAATCAATGTATGTTTATTAATTAATTAATGTCTAATTATTCATTGGTGAATGTGTATGTGCAACATATTTGAATTTGTTTTAGATCTTATACTATGAAATCTATCTTAGAATATGGCGTGCAAGTACATTTAAGGTAGAAGATTTATTTAAGTTTTTAAACTTGTAAGAGAATTTAAATTTTATTTAATAATTTGTAATAGATTTAATATTGTTTTAGAGATCTTGCTTTAAGTGTGAAGTAATTCCATTTTAATCTCTCATATTAGATATCCTATCTACTTTTCCATTTTGATGATGTCGAATTGTTTATTCAAATAGCATTTTTAAGAAGTTTAATTGTTTTTGTGCAATGTTTGTCTGAATATAAATTCCATAATGACTTACACTACTAAACAAAAAAAAATTTCAGAGCTAGGGATTGCAATCCTGCATTGCAGAATCCTGCAATCCTGCGTGATCCCGCATTATTTTACTGCATTCGAGATCACGCAAAAACTACTGCAGGATTTGCGGGATCTGCAGGATTTGCTGAGTTTTGAAATTATTGCTTTTAAATATAAAAAAAAGCAATTCTTTAAACAAAAAAAACAAAAAAGATATCAAATTAAAGTATTTAATGTATTTGCATAACAAATCCATTTAAAATTTTACTAGTCAAAAAATGCACAATGAAATGTATACTTAGAAACTTGTTCAAATTTTTGTTTTGTTTTGTTAATGATTAGTTATAAAATAGTCATAAAGTGCACAATAAAATGTATACTGAGAAACTCGTTCAAATTTTTTTTGTTTTGTTAATGATTATGTTGAAACTTTTGCTAATAAGTATGTTTAAATTTTTTGTTGATGAGTATGTTGAAAATGTAAAATTGAAAACGTGAAAAAATATAGCGCACTACTTTTTAAAAAGACTTCAAAAATTATTTACATCAAGATTTGAAAACAAAAGTACCTACTAAGCATGTAACAAATTAAAACTATATGGAATTATTTTAAAAAAAGTGATAAAGAAGAAAATGTGAAGTTCATGTTATGTTCGGCTATTTTAAAAATTAGTCAAAGATCAACAAAAGGGTTATTAATCCATTTAAAAACTATACATGGCATCAATTTAAAATCAAACGTTTTACAACAAGACAGCTTCAACTTCAAAACAGTATAAATCAGTTGAATTAGAGTCTAAAATATACATCCACTGCGAAGGCAAAAAAGTAATTCTATTGAAAAGGTCAGAACAATAGACGCAATTTTTGTAAAAGAAATTTCTATGGAAAAAATGGTATCGCGCATGGTTGCTAAAGATGGCTTTACATTTAATAGGTTTTATCGATGGTAGTAAAATTCTCAGATTCTGTAAAAGCCGATATAATGCAAAAATTTATATCACTAAAAAAGCAAAATCAAAAGTTTTCAATAATGTTTGTGGAATGGACATCACAAAATAGTCAGAGATACCTTAACTTAAATGTACATATGGAGGCAAAACACTTAAATCTTGGATTGACTCGAAATCATGGATCCTGTAATGCAGAATATTGTGTCAAGTTAGTTGCAGGAAAGCTAAATAGCTTCAATATCGACATCCAAAAAGGCATTATCACCACGACCACTGATGGAGCAAGTGTGATGGTGAAAGTTGGTAAAATGATGTCTTGCTATCATCAACTATGTTATGTTCATGGAATAAAACTTGCAGTTATTGATATCTTATACAAGAAAAACAATGGAGACGTCGAATCTTTTACTACAAATGAAAATTGCAAAGAAGAAGATGATCATGAGAACACTGATGATTATAAGTTATAAAAACGAGAATGAATTTTAGTTGATGGAACTAGAGTTGATAACTCCTTTGAGCAGTGACCATTTTAGTATTTGTAGAAAAGAGAAAGAGATGTGACTTTACGACAATGGGAAAGAGGTTCAAGCTTAGCACATAGTCCAGGTCCAACAACATTTACAATGCGTTTTTGGACCTTGTCAAGAAGAGAAAGTGAATCGTTAGAAGAACCAGCCCAAATATGACAACAGTATTCCATACAGGGACGAATAAGAGATTTGTAGAGGTAGAGAATGGAATCAGAAGTAAGGAAATGGCGAGCACGATAAAGAGAAGCAACCTTAGCAGAAGCTAATTTAGCAATCGATTGTATATATGGTTTCCTTGAAAGGTCAGTAGTAAGCGATAATCCAAGAAAACGTAAAGAGGAGGACTCAGTAAGAGGATTACCATTCATTAATATAGGAATGTTGACCATATTACGGTAGTTGTTTGCAGTAAGCAACTGGGTTTTTTTAGAGTTGAAATTCACAAGCCACTGGGAACCCCAATCTATTACTGAAGTGAGATCGGATTCAAGATCAGCTGCTTGTTCTAGGCGATCGAAAAGAGAAGACTTTTTGTCAAGACAGGACTATAAAGATGAGTCATCAGCAAAAAGAGCTACTTTAGATGAAAGGTTGTCAGGAAGATCGTTTATGTAGATAAGAAACAAAACAGGGCTCAGGATGGAACCTTGGGGAACCCCAGAAGTTACTGGAAATAAAGAAGAGCGTTGGCCTTCAAGGTTGACTTTAATAAACCGGTTAGAAAGAAATGATTTGATAATCTCAAAAACTTTCCCAGAAACACCATATGAAGCAAGCTTATGGAGAAGACCAGCATGCCAAACTTTGTCGAAAGCTTTAGATATGTCGAGAGCAATAGCCCTAGCCTCACCGCCTCCATCTAATGCACGATAAAATCTTTCAGTTACAGCAGTTAGCAAGTCGGCCGTAGAGCGAGAGGATCGAAAACCGTATTGATTGTCTGACAGCAGTTTATTTGACTCAAGATGAGATGTGAGGAATTTGTTGATCAAAGACTCAAAGACCTTGCTAATAACAGAAAGAAGACTGATTGGACGATAATTGGAGGGGTCAGAATTTTCTCCAGAGTTTTTGAATATTGGAACCACAGATGCCATTTTCCAACAAGCAGGAAAACAAGACTCAGTCAAATACTTGTTAAATAGTTTAGAGAGAATTGAAGAAAGTTCTGGAGAACAATTCTGCAAGACTGTGACAGGAATGTTGTCTGGACCACAAGCTGTAGACGAGTTTAATTGAGATATGACTTTAGCAACAGAAGCTGGAGTGATTTGAATGTCTAACACTGGAATGGAAGAGAATGTCCATAAGATTCAAGAGTGGAATTAGAAGAAAAGTTTTTTGCAAACAGTTCTGCCTTATCCCTGGGAGAGGTAACAAGATCAGTCCCATGAATGAGAGATGGAATGTTAGATCTACCCTTGTTAACGATGCTGTTGAAGATTTTCCAAAAGTCTTTAGAGCCTAACTTCTGTGATAAGATGCGAGATTTAGTGAACTGAGAATAATGGAGTTTAGCATCAGAAAGTACCTTTTTATATCGATTTCTTGCAATAATAAATAGCCGTTTGTTCTCAAGAGAGTTGTTCTTTTGAAAAAGATGAAAAAAATGATTACAATTGGATATAGCAGCCGCACAAGAAGGAGAAAACCATGGAGTAGAATGAGGCTTGACTTGAAACCGACGAGAAGGAATAAAAGCTTCCATTCCAGCCTGAATCCAGGAGGTTACGTAGGAGGCGCATTTGTCAGCTGAGAGAGAAAAAACATCAGCCCAAGGACCATCACGAAGAAAATCACGAAAGGAATCCCAATCAGCTTTAGGGTAGTAGTAGGTGGTGCGATGATAAGGTGAGCCCAAAAAAGAAGTACGAGAAGAAAGATTTATAGAGATCATTGCATGGTCAGAACCACCTAAGGGAGAAAAGGGAGAAAATGAACATAAGCTAGGGTCAGAGACAAGACATAAGTCAAGGAGTGAAGGTAAATGATTAGGGTTGTCAGGAAAACGAGTCACAAAGTTAACTATCTGAGTAAGAGATTGAGAAACGCAGAAGTTAAAGGCTTTAGTGCCAGCAGGATCAGTGGTGTTAGAGCCAAGCCATTTAGTGTGATGGGCATTAAAATCACCAATAACAATAATATTGGCAGAGGGGTAAAGAGAGAGGGCATGGTCAATTTGATCAGAGATAACATCTTAGAGAGTGCAAACATGGGAAGAAGGAGAACGATAAAGAACAAAGAGAAAGGTGATAGAGTGATGAGGTGCTAGGCGAAAGCACATAAAAGAATGGTCAAAGGATTCGAACCTGATTTCACGACAAATAGGGGAATTAATGCGTATGTATACCCCTAAACCTAGCATGTGACTATTTGAGTCTTTATGAATCAAAGGATAGTACCCATCAACACTGACATCTGAAGTAGGAATTGCAAAATTTAAATTTGTTTCACTGAGTGCAAGCAAGTCTGGTGAATTTTGCAGGAGGTAAAACTCAACTGATGAAAAGTTGCTTCGTAGGCCGCGAATATTTGTAAAAGATATATTAAAATATTTAGGTGGTGGGGATGGTTTTTTAGGTTTTAAATTTTTGGTTACTTTGGTCATGATTTGGGTTTAATGAGAACTTGACTCATTCATAGATAGAGCACAGCCTCCTAATCAATGAGCTATGCAGTTGTCTCAGTCCTGTTAATTAACCCTAAGCCGTGACATAGGGCTCTTTATGTGGCCTTGCACAATGCACACCAAAAGCATTAACAGGGACACCATCCATGCGCAACATGGCACTGTTAATACTCTGATATTTTGCAGCTGTTGATGGAATCAGCCTCTCTGAGAGCTACCACAGAGTTCGGGAAACCTTACTACCAGCCGGCCTTAGAACCATTAAACTGAGTTTTAGAGTTGTACCCTCATATGGAGATAACAGGAAGAGTTGCATAGCCATTATCAAGGAGGCATAAGCAAAATTCTATGAGTAGAGTCAAGGAGATTCAGCATTCATCATCTTAGGCAGGAAACAATGTAACACAGGTTACATCTACGCCAGCCTAGTAGATGAAGAAGGGGTTCAAGGCTGGTTAGCAGAATTTTTCTGCTTACCCCTAAAGTCTTTGCCTAGGAGGCCTTCTACAAGACAGTAGCTGGATGCAGTTAACATCTGCCCAAGATGAGTATTTTTATCGAGACATCATCTCTAGCCTTTACTCAACCAAGAGCCCCAAGGCAGGGGATGTTTAGCTGGATGCAGTTAACATCTGCCCAAGATGAGTGTTTTTATCAAGACACCATCTCTAGCCTTTACTCAACCAAGAGCCCCAAGGCATTGGAATTTTTAGTTGGAGTTTATTTCTCCTAGCCTTTGCATAAGAAGAGCACACTCTGCAAGACTGCAGGGCTTGTGGCAGGTGGTACTGGGTTACGTGATACCAGTAGCAGGATTGATCTCGAATATCCTGACCTGACCTGGAGTAGTTAAAAGGAGTTAATTCCAGCAACAGTACTTTGAGAAAACCAGGCATGATATTTTGGAAGTGCATTAGGAAAAACACTGCATCTAATAAAATACAGTAGTCTAAGGTGAGTGTAGGTTTTGTAGTTGGAGTAAGTAGTTAGTTACTGAGCTCACACTGCATTAGAGTATAAACAGAACACAAACAAACATAAACATAAATCAACTTACGGGTGAGTCAACACCGTGCCAGAGGTTCAGACAGAACACAAACATACATAAAAAACATAAAGTAACTTACGGGTGAGCGAACACCGCGCCAGAGGTTCAGACAGAACACAAATATACATAAAAAAACATAAAAAACATAAACATAAACATAAAGTAACTTATGGGTGAGCGAACACCGCGCCAGAGGTTCAGACAGAACACAGACATGCATAAAGAACATAAAGTAACTTATTGGTGAGCGAACACCGCGCCAGAGGTTCAGACAGAACACAAACATACATATAACGTAGATTACAGGTGAGCTGATATAGTAACTAAGGCACCTCCAACTATATGGAAAAAAAATTACTATAGGCATGACTGATATAAGATAGTACTGATGACAGGAAGAACACTCCTTCTAGCCTTTGCTTAGAAAGCAAATCCTGCAAGGCAGCAGAACATGGAACAGGTTGCACTGGGTTACATGTTACCAGTAGCAGGATGATCATGAAGATCATACTCCTGACCTGACACCATCAGTTTCAACTTAACACAGGTTTTAATTACATGCTGACAATTAAAATATACAAAAAAAAAAAAAAAATACCATACATAAATATATATATATATATAAAAAATACCATATATATATATATATATATATATATATATATATATATATATATATATATATATATATATATATATATATATATATATATATATATATATATATATATTTATATATATATATATATATATATATATTTATATTTATATATATATATATATTTATATTTATATATATATATATATATACATATATATATATATTTATATATATATATATATATATATATATATATATTATATATATATATATATATATATATATATATATATATATATATATATATATATATATACATATATATATACATATACATATATATAAAACCTTGTAACAGCCAATTTTGGCCTATTTCTGTTTATGATGTAAAACGTTTCTATAAAGTGGTTTACATGTACTTGCAAAACCTTGTAACACTCTGATTAATGAGATGGTCTTAAATTGTCAAGAGACAAAAACACTTAATTGCATTGGCTATGAATATGAAAACAAAACCACTTATCATCACAATTACAAAAAAATCAATTATGAGGTCTTGCAGTTTCAGTGACAATATAGAAAACTTTTTGATGGAACTTAAAGTTTCATGCCATTTTTGGCACTCATCAGCCATATAATAAATCAAGAAGAAAAAACAATTTTAAAATACAATTATAAACCATTAAAAAATTTGAATAAAAAATAAAATGCAATGGAATGAGTTCTGACGTCAAATAATAATAACGATAATATGGAAAAAACATCTTTACTAATTTTCCTGATTATGAATTTTGAATTCCAAAAATTTTTGATGAATAATTTGATTGCTCAAACTTCGTAAACAAAAACTTTTTAGTTTTTATTTACGAAGTATTTTTTTCAAATATGTTTAAATACTCATACAATTTTCTTATGTTCTAATTAATAAAAGAAAATGCAAAAAAACAAACTTTGGCACTGTGACTTTCAAAAAATAGTTTTATCGCTATTTTAGATTTTTATAAAATTTTTAAATTAAAAAAAAAAAAAAATAGAACTTTTGATAAATAAAAAATTAATAACTGCCCATTCATGTAACTATTGATTATTTATTTATCAAAAGATTATTTTTAGTTGCCCTTCACAAAATTCTGTTGTTTAGTACCGTTGGGAGACCACAAGTGTACACCTCTAAAATAGTATAAAGGGATTGGATGATGATTGTGGTAAGATATTGGATGATTGTGATGATATATTGGATGATATAATGAAAGACAACAACTGAGTGGAATCACAATTATTATCTAATATCTAATATAAGATTACAAAGATCTCATGAAAAAAGTGAGAAAGGTTGTAAATATATTTAAAAACTCTCCTGTAAAAAATAATACATATTTACAGAAGTATATCTTACATGAACACGGCAAAAAACTCAAGTTGATTCTTGATTGTAAAACTAGGTGGCGCAGTATGTTCGATATGTTAGAAAGATTTTATAGACTAAAAGTGTGTATTGAAAAAAGCCTTAATTGATGTTGGGTTAGAAATTCGTTTCACCCAAAAAGAATGATCCTAAATCAACGACTTAATTATTTGCCTGGCACCACTAAAACTTTGTCTCGAACTATTATGCAGGAGAGAATCGAACCTTGTCACTGCAGAAACAACTTTTCAATTTATGTTAGATAAATTACAAAAGCAATCATCACTTCTGAACATTGATTTAGCCGCGGCACTTCATTAGAGGTTTACACAACGTCGTAATAAGAATTTAAATGGACTACTGGTTTACTTACAAAATCCTAAAAAAAATATGAACAAGAAATTAAAAAAATGAAAATACTTTTTCATTGCCAAATAGAACTGTTATGCGTCAAGAAATACAAAAAATATTGATAAGAGTTTATATAATTGAAATAAACAAACTTGAAGAAAAAAGAAAGCTGTAGATTATATCAACAATTTCCAAATACTTACTCCTACAATTCTATAGCTGAAATAAGAATTGGAAAATCACATACAGAAAGACAAGAAAAGCTGGACAGAAAATGTAAAGGAGATACCTAATTTAGATTCTTTAGACTTTGATAAATTATTGAAGCAGGAAATGTCTGCCTATGAAAGTAACAGAGTAAGAGGCAAGTTTCTAGATATAGCTCATAATTACTTGATGACCATATCATCAACAAACGTAGAGGCAGAGCGAGTTTTTTTATCTGCTGGCTATATATGCAGTCCTTTGAGAAGTAGATTAAGTGACGATTTTTTAAGTAGGGTCTGTTTCTTAAGAGCCCATTTGTTACAATGATTTTCTCTGATTTGATTTTTTTGAAAATAAGTAAAGTTAAAAAACGCTCTACGTAAAGCTAAAAGACGTTTTACGTATTTTTATTATATCTTTTTGTTCATTAAATGTTAAGAATTATATTGGTTTACAAATGAATTGTGTTTTTGGCTTCATTTACCTTGCCTTATCAATTTATTAAGTTAAGTATATTTTTTCTGAAATACTTGAAAGAAAAATACAATTGTCGTTATAAAAGGCAAATAAATTCTGCCTTTTATAATGTGCATAAGAAATCTACCAATCTCGCGTGGGATCCCGCAGGATCCGCACATAAATTTAAAAATCTGTGCGGATCCCGCAGGATTGAAAAGTGTGCGGGGTTGCAATCCCTATTCAGAACACAAACAATAAACTATTTAAAAAGCACTAATTCAGTTTTATTTGAAATGTTCTTAAATCAAAAACACTTTAAATTTTTAAATTTGAAATTAAAAATAAGAGATCTTAGTTTTAGTTTGTGTTACAAGGTGAGGAAAACTTAAAACTAAAAGAAAAAAATCTTATCTTAATTTATAAATGATAAAATTCAAATACTTTTGTGGCAAATGTTATAATAAGTATTAGAATAACAAGATTAAAAATCTTGTCTTGTATATACCAACATAAAATGAATTCACATTAATGGAAATTACCTTGAAAATTTGTCAAGGTTTTCAGTAAAATGCACACAACACATTAAGTAGTTGAATGAATAGAAGTTGATTGTTGTGATTAAGGAAACTTAAGTTAGAATTGGAAGTACAGCAACATGAGAGCATATTTTGGAATAATGGTCATAACAGAAATAATGGCATTTATGTAAACACATCATTTAGAAAAACCGATGCTCCAATTCTTATGTTACAAGAAATTATTTTTTAAAAAAGGCTTCTGAAAATATTGTTTTAGAAATTATAATAGTTTTGTAAATTGTATCACTTTCGTTTTTAGTTTTGTAATTTATATTTGTTTTTTTTTTAGATTTAATTTTTAATCTACCTGATAACAAGCAAAGTTATATCCATAAAAACAGTTTTTTTATAGCTTTTGTATTCACTATTTTTGTTTTTATATTTATTTTAATATTACTATTTATATTTTTATATTTTGTACGGCTATTAGGTTTTGTCTGGCTGAAACTAGTTGTTTTCAGGAAGATGCATATCCACCACGTTTGAAAGTTATTGCGAATAATAAACCTTGTCTTATACCAGTAAGTAGAGTTCCTGTAGTACAATAAATATTTTTATTGAATGATTCTTGAGACTAACATTTTATTTTTATAAGGGTCAGCCACCTCCAAATGCACAAAATCAAGAACCTCGTAAACCTCACAGACCTATAAATATAACTCCTGTTAACATTTCTCCCTTGCAATCAAATCAATTTAGTGTACAATGGATGCCGTCTGATGTTGGACAGGTAGAAATTTTACTAATATGCAACTTAAATTGTTTTATGAAAATATTTTGTTTTATTAGAAAAATGTTAGGTTATCATTATCAGAGCATATTATGAAAGTTGCATATATATCCAGAGTTATATATATCCAATTATGAAAGTTGCATATATATCCAGAGTTATATATATCCAATTATGAAAGTTGCATATATATCCAGAGTTATATATATCCAATTATGAAAGTTGCATATATATCCAGAGTTATATATATCCAATTATGAAAGTTGCATATATATCCAGAGTTATATATATCCAATTATGAAAGTTGCATATATATCCAGAGTTATATATATCCAATTATGAAAGTTGCATATATATCCAGAGTTATATATATCCAATTATGAAAGTTGCATATATATCCAGAGTTATATATATCCAATTATGAAAGTTGCATATATATCCAGAGTTATATATATCCAATTATGAAAGTTGCATATATATCCAGAGTTATATATATCCAATTATGAAAGTTGCATATATATCCAGAGTTATATATATCCAATTATGAAAGTTGCATATATATCCAGAGTTATATATATCCAATTATGAAAGTTGCATATATATCCAGAGTTATATATATCCAATTATGAAAGTTGCATATATATCCAGAGTTATATATATCCAATTATGAAAGTTGCATATATATCCAGAGTTATATATATCCAATTATGAAAGTTGCATATATATCCAGAGTTATATATATCCAATTATGAAAGTTGCATATATATCCAGAGTTATATATATCCAATTATGAAAGTTGCATATATATCCAGAGTTATATATGTAACTCTTAATCACAAAGCCAGAAATTTTTAAAAAAAATTGATAAAAGGTTCTCAATATAACTTCAAAACATGAGCTCTTTCTTAAAAATTTATTTCAAAAAAGCTAAGGCTCTTTTAATGCTCAATTTTAGAATCATTAATGTACTTTTTTGTAGCTTTTAAACATCAACATAAATTATCTTTTAACTATCAAATGTATTTAATTGGAAAGATTAACTTTTTATTAATTTTATTTTTTCAGAGATATACCACAACAGTTCATTTAGTAAAAACTGTTCACTGTGAAACTCTTATTCAACAACTAGCTAACAAACCAGAACGATCTGCAGAACACACAAAAGCTTTTAGTAAGATAAATAATAAATTATTTAATTTATTGGCAATAATTTATGAAAATAAATTTGTTTCATGACAATAAAACATAATTTATGAGGTGTTTGATAAAAATCCGTGAAATTAGAAGTTGCTATTAATGCCTTAGTTTTTAGGCTACAAATTAATTGGAAATGTATCTATAAAAAGTATTTATCTATTATTATTATTATTGCCTATTTTTCCAGTTTGAAGACAAATTAATTTAGCGAGGTCTTGTCAAATTTTTTAAGATAATTATTTATTTTATCATAAACTTTTTTTAAATTTTATGCTTTCCAGCTCTTTGCATAGACCATTTCTTTAAAAAATACTCTAAAAATCCTCAGTCAGGTGACATTCTGTGATATTTGGCAAGTTATATATATACAGGCAAATCCCACCATTCTTGGTCATCGTTCAACGTAGGTATCTTTTTTATTTTATGGCAACTGATGCTTCTCTTATTTTTAACAAGTAATTGATCAGGATTATGCTACTACATAATTGTAAGCATGCTACTTAATTGTCTTTGCAAAACTCCATTACAGTGGTCAATGTTTTTTTCATTTTGTTTTAAAGTGAGTTAAACGTTTTTTCTGTAAGATTGATGTATTAAATATAATTCAAAAATTATTTTTTTGTTACCTTTTTAGTTGTCAATTTTTTAGAAATGTGCAACTTTTGTACAAAACACAATATACATAAAGAGTATTTGATTAGTAACAAAATAAATAGTATTAGAATTCAATAAAACTTGTGAGTACCATGTTTTATCCTTCAAATTTTTACGGATTTTTATTAAGCATCTCTGTTCATCTCTTCAAAAATTAAGATTTAAACTTGGGATTTTTATTTTCTAGTTACAGAGAAACTTCGACAAGATCCAGAGAGTGAAATTGCATTAACAAGTTTGAAAGTTTCTCTTTGTTGTCCAGTAAATAAATTTGCTTTATAAATCCATAAAAACCTCTTTTTTTCCTTCTTTTTTTTACTGTTTAAAATGTAAGCAAAAAATATTTGTAGATTGGAAAAACACGAATGAAATATCCTTGTCGTGCAAATAACTGTCATCATTTGCAGTGCTTTGATGGCGCAACATACTTACAAATGAATGAAAGGTGTGGTTTTGAAAAAAAAAATTATTTTATAAAAATCTTTTTTAGACAAAAAATAAAGTAATATGTGTATGAAGATCAAAGTTTTTTGAACACATATTTTGTGCGTTGGTTTCAAAGTTTTTGAACCTAGATAGGCTCATATACTCATCCCCAAAGCCATGGATCCACTCCAAAACCATAGAACTTCCTCAAATTGAACACAATAATACCATAAGCATAATTAGAATCAAACTCTTTACTTCATTGTTACAATAATTTAATTTTATAAATTTCAAAAATATAATTTTAAAAAACTTCATTTGTTATGATATATTTAATTTTGTTTTTAATAAATGTCTGTTTTGGCTGCTAAAGTATAATAAAAAATAAATAAAAAAAACATAATTTGCAACATAACCAGTGTAAGTTTGTTTAAGAAAATAATCAACTTTTTAGACTTATCAAGTACTCTTGATGTTATTTAACAGTTCACTTAGTCTTTATATTTGACATTGTAACTTTATAAAGTACAAAAGGTAGAATATCTACCTTTTTTTAAATGTGTATTTCTATTGTACTTTATAAAGTTACAATGTCAAATATGTTTTTAAACAATATGTTTAAAAATGTACAGCCCAAAAAAGTTAAATACAAAAGTTAATTAACATAAATAATAAAGTATTAAAGAAATATTTAATATTTAATATTATATATATATATATATATATATATATATATATATATATATATATATATATATATATATATATATATATATATATATATATATATATATATATATATATTAGAGTTAAATTTTTATATTATTTTTGTACTCTTGAATTTCTTAAAATAGTTTTTTTTAATGCAGTATTAGGTCTTTATGTGAATATTATATATATTTTTATTCATTCCCAACAAGGCTGCAAACAACCACTATTAAGTTGGGAGTTACTAGAACAGCTAGTTACAGAAGACTTAAAATGTTTGTATGAGTATGTATGAAAAACATGAAGATAGTTAAGAGTTCCAAAGGGATGAAGTGCAGGGAAAAAACTAGACAAATAAAAGTTTTTAGAGCATGCAAGGACAGATATAGTAAAAAGATGAGACTTAGTTGAATGGCGAGTCTAGCAAGAATAAGTTTTTGTTGGTGGATGCTCCCTTGAGCAACGACCATGATAGTATTAATACAAAAGAGAAGGGACACAACCTTATGGCAATAAGAGAGAGGCTCAAGCTTGTCAGATAAAGCATGTCCAACTGTTTACAGTGTTTTTAGACCTTGTCTAGATAAGAAAGAGCATTGTTACTCAAATATGACAATCATTAAAAAACAAGCACAGTGATTCAGTGATAATATAGGAATGTCAAGGGTATTGTGATAGTTGTTTGCGTTAAATAACTGAGTTTTGTTGGAGTGTATTAATTTCTGTCCTGAAATTTTTAGAGAAAAATAACAGATAAGTAAGAATAAAACAAGTATTTTTTTAATCTTTTTTTTATCTTGTATCACACGATATATCACATGATTACATATCTTATATGTCTTGGCACATGACTACATATCATGTATCTTAGTATTAAACAACCTATAGAATATATACAGCATTTGTAGTAAACATTTCTCATAAATGTTTATTTAGCATGTGTTCTATTATGTTTACAACATATGTGCACTAAATTATATGCAGTGGTTTTTAGAAAGTATATGTAAGGTAAAATCCATGCTTTTTGTAACCAATTGATGGCTAAAGTAAAAAACTCCATGCAAGCAATAAATCAATTTTTGAATTAGAGTTCTTCATTACCAATTTATGTAACTATGTAATTCTATGTAACTATGGACCTATATATATATATATATATATATATATATATATATATATAATATATATATATATATATATATATATATATATATATATATATATATATATATATATATATTCTTACTATTATGAATATATTTTAGAAAAGGAAGAAAAAAAACAAAGAATGATGAATGAAACCATTGCTGCCCCATCCCAAACCCTCAGTCGATGTAGCAGCACTCCACTGCCAGTCAGGCTATTTGTCAATCGATGTATATACTGAAGCCCCCAGCAGCAGGCTATTTCAGTATGATGACAGATTGCTTACCTTAGTACGCAATACTATTATTTATATATATATATATATATATATATATATATATATATATATATATATATATATATATATATATATATACATACATACAAGCCTTCCCGGGAAGTGCATGCCTTGTTCATCCATGCTTAAATTAATTTTTTTAAACAAGTTGACTACATTTTTATATAGTAAGCGTTTTAAGAATTTGTGGTAAAAAAAATCTATAAGAAACTAGAGAGAATAAAACAGCAATACTCAAAGAAAGAATATGAAGACGGCACGAAATAGAAATTCTAAATAAAATAAACTAAAAAAAATTGAATATTAAAAAAAAGAAAAATTTTATCAAAAAATAGTATTATTATTATTATTATTTTTTTTTTTTCGCCAGGTATACCATATAAAATATACATTTATTATCGTGACAAAAAGAAAATAAATATACAAAATTATTATGTATCAGATTGATAAAAATAAATTAATATAATATTGATACATTAATATTGTATTGATGCAAACTTTAATTTAAATTCTGGTATAATAACTATTATATAAATTTATTTTTTCTATACTTAAATACCTAAACAAAAGAAAATCAAAGTAGATAGAGCATTTTTGAGTATAAAACTCCATAAAAAATCTTTTTGCAGATTCTCTTAATAGCGCCGTTTGGCGTATATCTAAGTCTATATAAAAAGTTAATTAAGTAAACTTAGACATTTTTTTTTTTTTTGTAATCAGCTTTGTAATTACTATTTTTATGTTATATATATATATATATATATATATATATATATATATATATATATATATATATATATATATATATATATATATATATATATATTTAAGTTTATTACAATCATTTCTACAAACGATGATTATGCAGCTTAGCTTGCCGTTTAAACAACGATATATTCCGTTTAAGTCTTTTAATTTTTCAAGTTTTTCCATATTTTGTAATATGCCTAAATATTTTACTGTTTTTGTTTTTCTTTTTTTTTAGTACATTTGTTATTTTCCACTACCGAAAATTGAAACAAGTCAAGGAAAAAAGATAAAAAGATAAAAATATAACAAAAATTAAAACATTCTATGATATACAACTTTTTTCGTGACTTTTTTCAGTCAGTATATTAAGGAAGCACTTTTTTTTAACAAGTTTTTCATGTTAAAAAAAAAAGTCATTAATACTATATTCAAATACAAAATATTTGGTTGTTTTCACTTTGTTTAAGTTTTAAAATACATTTTTTCAAACAGAGTTATTGTTATGTTCGTTATTACTAGTAATTCATATTAACATTGGAAATTGGGCAATATATAAGAAACAATTTCAGACATATATCAAATGTGTAAATACATTTATTGAAGAAACCATGTTTTTCTTTTATTTAATTTCTTCCGTCATTACAAAATTTAATAATCAAATATATTAAAAATAAATAGCAATATATTTTATATATTGCAATATTTTTTATATATTGCAATATATTTTATATATTGCAATATATTTTTATATAAAGCAATATATTTTTATATATAAAAATGAAAAGCAATATATTTTCTTATCTTCCTATTATATAAGTATTGAGATAAAACGTCAAATGTAGTAAAAATATTTTTTAAAGTGAAAAGACTTCACAATGAATAAGTGTAAGAAGAATAATTAACAAAATTTTACATAGTTCTAGTGTACATAGCAAATTAGTTTCTTAATTACATGGGCTGATAAAAGTTGTAAATAAAATGCACATCAAAAATATTAAATTGTTATAAAAGATATATATTTTTTTTTTCTTAAGTTGTATTAAATTCGGTAACTTAAACAACAACCATCCTAAAAAAATGAATACAAAAGTTGTAAAATAAATTTTTTTATTTTCTTATTTTCTTTCATTACAATTTTATTTCTGTTTTTTTTGATTTTTTTTTTTCTCAGTAGATAAGTTTAACCTTTTTTCCACAAATTATTGAAATGCTCTAAAAGTTAAAAGATAAGAACTGCTGTCGTCAGTGTGTCTAAAAAATTACTCAAGGCGTGGACAAACAAGGCATGCGACGGCAGGCGCTTACTGGAAAGGTTTGATACATATATCAGTCTTCTCCGTCTAGCCAGCGCTTTCGTGCTCAAGCTTTTTCGTGCACGCCCATATGCCTGCAAAAACTTTGGCGAGCGCATAATAAAGCGCTTGCCAAAAAAATAAAAGCGTTTTGATAAAAATCAGAAAGCTGTCTTTTGTGATAGCTGCCTTAATTGGGTCCACCTAAAATGTAACAATCTCAATGATATTGATTACCAATTACTAAAAAATTCCTCAAAAAATTGTTCTTGGTTTTGTATAAATTATTTAGTCAGTATTTTTCCCTTCAATAAAGAAACTATAATTGACAACGAAAATCTTACTAATGTTGACACCAAAGTAAATGAGATTTATCAAGTATCAGATTTCCCCATATACTCAATCTTTAACACATTTAATACACATGTTGATAAACAATAACAAATCCCAAAATCTCCCAATAAACAGCTATTATACTAATGTTGATGATTTAAAATGTATTGCAGCTGACAAATCCTCATTCAATGTATTTCATATCAATATCTCATCACTCTCGAGACATTTTGACGACCTTGAAAATCTACTCCAATCAACAAAACTTGAATTTGACATAATTGGTATATCAGAAACCAGACTGAAAAAAAACAGGCCTCAAACTAGCAACATAATACTTAATGGGTATTCCCATGAACACACACCACCTGAATCACATGCAGGTGGTGCATTAAATATAAATAACAGGCTCGCCTATAAACCCAAAAATGATCTCCTCATCTATAAACCAAAAGAGCTAGAATCTATCTTTATTGAAATCATAAATCAAAA